GGCGAGACCAGCCATCTAGTCCATCTAGGCCACCTAGATGGGCTAGATGAACTAGATAGACTAGACGGACTAGATGGCCGATCTCGCCATCTCGGCCATCTAGGCCGCTTAGGTCCACTCAGATGGCCTAGAAGGCGAGATCGGCCAACTAGGCCATCTAGCCCGTCCAGTCCATCTAGACCATCTAGACCAGTTCGGTGTCCTAGATGGCCTTGATGGCGAGATCGGCCGTCTAGTCCATCTAGGCCACCTGGATGGGCCAGATGGTCTAGATGGACTAGACGGACTAGATGGACTAGGTGGCGGATTTTGCCATCTAGGCCACCTAGATGGCCTGGAGCGGACCTAGAGTGGACCTAGAGGGTCTAGATGGTTTAGATGGCCTAGATGGCCGATCTGGGCCACCTAGGAGGACCCAGTTGCCTTTTTTCTGCTCAGATGGCCCGGATCGCCTAGATGGCCTGGTTAGCCGATCTCGCCATCTAGGTCATCTAGGTGGACTTGGGTGTCCGAGATGGCCCAGATGGCGAGATTGGCCATCTGGAGCCACTCAGGTGGACCTGGATGGCTCAGATTGCCCAGGTGGCCGATCTCGCCACCTGGGCCATCTAGGTGGATGGCCCATGGCCTAGGTGGCCTCGTTGGCGAGATTGGCCATCCGGGCATCCTCGGGAGTGGATGGCCGAGGTGGTGGTCAGCTGGGGCCGTCGAGGTGGACCTAGATTGCCCAGATGGCCCAGATGGCGAGATCGGCCATCTGGGCCTCCTCGGGCGCGGATGGCCGAGATGGCGAGATTGGCCATCTGGGGCCATTCCGGTGGACCTGGGTTGCCTAGATGGCGAGATCAACCATCAAGGCCGCTTGAGGCGTTGATAGCCTAGATGGCGAGATGGGCCATGTGGGCATGCGCTTGTTCCTCCCCGCCATCCTCGCTTATTTCCTCATGTTGTTCCGTTTCCTCCCCGCTCCTTTCGTCTGTTCCTCCTGCTCCTCCTCGGTTGACCTCTTTGTTATCCTTGTTTCCTCCCTGTTTTCCCTCTCACCCCCTCGCATTCCTCACCCTCCCTCTTCCCTCCTCCATCCCCCCTCCTGCCTCATCCACTCTATGTCTCCTCCTTCCTCATTCCCTCTTCCCTCCTGCCACCTCTGTCCTTTCGTACTATTATATTATCCCTCCTCCATCCTCCTTTTCCTCTTCCTCCTCCTCCTCCTCCTCCTCCTCCTCCCCCTCCTCCTACTCTTCTTGCCTGTTCACGTTCTTTCTCCTCCGCCTATATTATGCCGCCTGCGCTTGGTTCCCTGCAGGAAGACCTGGTCGAAATGTGGCCTTTGCATGGGTGAAGGGCGGCGCGTGTTCAGTATGTGGGTTGCTCGAGTCTTCAGAGTTGATGACGGCCAGAACAAAACAAAAAAGCATGTTCACCAGTTCCGCGTATGGAGTGCGTCTCGGTTTCAAAGTTAGGTTTTGTTTTAGACATCTGTTCAGTGGTTCGTTTTCAAGCTTAGGTTCGTTTTGGACCAGCTTACATAAATGTCTTACAGCATGAAGGACGGAAACCAGATACTGTTCGATGCGCGGGTCTCGCTTGATTAGCAGGTCCATGAGATGCTCATCAGTCCAGGCGGTGCTTCCGTAGTGAAGGGGATGGTTGCGTGGACGAAAGAGGTGGAGACGTGGGGCGGGAGGGGCATTGCAAAATTGCTGGGACACCTGGGCGTTGTCTGGTCCGGACATCTGGGCGTCGTCTGGTCCTTAACCCTATCTTCTTGCTCGTCCCTTCCTCTGTAGCCCCAGGTCCATTATCCCTGCTCCTACCTCCCATCACGCCCCAAACTCATCAATACTCCCCTGATCCGTCGCGTTCATGATCGCACTCATCACAGTAAGTTCATGTTCTTAGCTTCCCTCGTGCGTCTCTTCTCCCCTCCGCCTACGACCTCTCACTTCCCTCAGGTTGCCCCCTCCTGTCGCTCCCTCGCCGTACTCCTTTTCACAATTGTCATTACCTTCATTGCGAGTATCGTCTTCTTGCGCCGCCTCCCCATACTCATCCCATCACTATCACGGTCCTGTCATGTTTCTCCATCCCATATCCTCCTTTCTTCTTCCCTCATAGTCCTTGCTCCAGCTGTAATCTCCCCCTCACCGCCCTCGTCCTGGGACATATGACTCTTCCTGAGTACCGTCGTCCTCGTCGTTGTCACTGTCATCCTGTCATGCCTCCTCCTCCCCCTCCTCCCTGTATGTGTCCGTCGCCTGCGCCTCCTACCCCCCATCCTTCTCATCCTCCTCATCACTCTCTCCTTGCTTTCATGTTCAAATGGCTTGGCATCGCTTCGCAGGGGCCCTTGCTCAGAAAGCGTGGACCACCGCCAACAACCAGCACCTTAACAAGCATCAAGAATTGACATTGGAGAGTATGAAGGTAGCTAGGGGGGATGGGGTATCCGCCAGCCGTTAAAAGTTGGTATGGTTTGGATTTCCATGTCCAAATATAATACCACTAGCCCTCTGGGCGTAGGTGGTCTAGGGCGTTGCCTCTTCCAACCCCCTTCTTCCCCTTCTGGGATGGATTCGCCACTCCCCCATACCCCCTCCCCTGGACCTGGACGGGAACGGGGGCGCGACGCGTTGGAGCATCCAAGATGACCCAAGATGGCTCCGAGAGCGCGTCGGAGAGCTCAAGGCGACCTCCAAGATTGCTCAAGATAGCGCAAGATGCCTCAAGATGGCACCCAATATGTTCCAAGAGGCCCCCAGACCGTCCCAAGACGGCTCCAAGTGGCCAAAGAGCTCCTCAAGGACGCCCCGATGAGGCCAGCATCCTTCCAAGACCTGAGGAAAATCAATGCTGTTGCTGCGTGTTTCCTTTCCGCTTCCGATGGCCATTCGAGGCCTCAAGGTGGATCCAAGATGGCCCAAGAGGGCCCAAAGAGCGCCCCAAGAGCGCTTCAAGAGCACCCCAAGAGCGCCCAGAGAAGCGCCTTTGGGGGCTCCCAAAGGGGGAACGCCAACAAATGCTCCCTTCTTGTTTGATCGATATCCTCCAAGATGGCCCCAAGGGAGCTCCCAAGGCTCCCAAGAGCGCCGAAGAGGGCCCCAAGAGGCGCCCAGGAGACCACAAGAGGCCTCCAAGAGGTTCCCAAGAGACCCCCAAGCGGCTCCAGAGGCTCCCCGAGGCACCCGAGACGCTCCAAGAGGCCCCCAGGACCGCCAAGAGGCCCCCATGACGCAAGAGAGGCCCAAGAAAGCCTCAATACGGCTCCAAGAGCGCCCAAGAGTGTCACAAGAGCGCTCCAAGAGGGACCCTTCCTCTGCGTGCTGTCCACTTCCCTGATCGAGGCAACTCCTCTGGGCATCTCTGGACGGGCTGGTGGGCTTACGCGAAGCGTCTCGGATTGAAGCGCCTTCCTACTTCAAGAACCAATGGCTGCCTCCTGCAAACGCCTACCACCAGGAGGGGCCGAAGCACAATCTACTTGAACCGCCTTCCTACTGAATCTTTCCGCTGACGTCTTCCGAACGGCGGGGCACAGTTTCATATATCTCCTATTCTTCCAGACAGGTCAAATAGTTGGCAAGCTTGGACCTGAATGACCACCACGGCCAAGGCTGCGGTCAGGCGGCCCAGGCATTTGACAGCACGCGTGCAGATGCTTTTAAGAGCCTCGGAGCGAACAGTAACGTAAAAACACACTGCAAATTGGCCGACGCCCCCAAGATGCTTCTAAAAGCCTCTCAAGAGGCCCCTCGTGAACGGACAGTGACGTAAATTACCCGAGGCTTACCCAATCCTTTCTCCACGCGAGGCGAACATTTGCATGGACGCTCCATACAAAAGAAAACATCGCCAGATATGCATGATCTGCGCTACCCTCATCCCCGCCGCGCCTCCCAGGAGCCCACGAAAGTGGCGATAGTTGCGAATTCCGTGGCCTCCCAGGGAGCCGCGAGGTGTCGGCTGGATCCGCGATCCCGCGACTCCGCTGAGCGGTCCGCTGGACCTCCCAGGAACCCACAAAAATTGCGACGGCTGCGCAGTTCGCAGCCACCGAAGGAGCAGCGAGGTCCCGTCTGGGTCCGCGTGGCCCCCGACTCCGCTGAACCACCCAAGAGTCCGCAAACATCGAGACAGTTTAACAGCTCGCAGTCCCCGGGGAGCCGCGTGGTCTAGTCTGATCACCAACTCCCCCAAGAACTTACAGCGACGTAAAAAGCTTTGAACGCCAAGGCTCCCAAGAGCCATCCTGAGCGATATTGTAGCCGCCCCGCATAACGAGGCGGTCTTTCCGTTCCCGTGCTGGCCCAGGGTCGAACACGCCCACTCCGTGCAGGCATTGTACGCTTCATAACCAAGCCGGCATCCTGCACTACGAGGGTGCCTTTTGCACGGGAGTGGCCTTTCGCGCTTGGCTTGATGGGGTGCAGGGATCGCCCCTTCAAGGCTCCAGACGGCGCCCAGAAGGAACGCTTTTGCGGGGGCGCAGCGCACCAAAGGCCTCACAGGGCAAAGGTCACCCTTCGTTGCGTGTATCCGGTTCCTTCTCTCGTCGTCTTCCTCGTCGTCTGTCTCCTAGTCCCCTCTGTATGGTGTGGCCTCCACGAGGGCCGTGTCGCCATGGCTGTAGAAGTCCTGGTCAAAGCGAGCTGCTTCAGGACAAATGATTGGTGGCGTCGAAGAGGGGGGACGAGGGCCAGGGGAGTGTCGGTATCGCATGGCCGGGGCCATGACGCCTCCCTCACCTTCGGTTGTTGAAGGGTTTGTGGGTTTCCGCTGCTCCTGGGGGGTCCCCGAGATCGCGGCTCACCAGAGCCTGAAGTCGGCCCCAGAGAGCCCCAAGACGGCCCAAGGAGGGCTTCCCCAGAGACCCAAGAGACGCCCAGGAGAGTTTTACAGGGTTTCCAAGAGGGCCCCATGAGCGCCCCAAGACGGCCGAAGCCCCTGAGACGGTCCAAGAAGGGTTTAGGACAGCCCAAGAGGGCCCCGACATACTTGGAAAGACCTCCAAGAGGCCCCCAAGAGGCCCTCCAGATGTTTCCGCAGCCATTTGGTCTCAAGTCATTTTTGGCCCTTGCGTCCACTTGGACAAGGCAGTCTGCGCTACACAACATGACCCCCACCCCTCGAGGCCCTGTAGTGATGGCGAGCCTCGCTGGCGTCAGGCTCCCAGCCGTCGGCGAGCAGCTCCCGCAATCAGGGCCTGCGCTGGCGTGGGCAGAGGCAGCCAGCGCGGCGCCCACACTGAGGCAGCCCTCGACTCCCAGGATGGCCCGCGGGCGCCATGGCGCGGGCAAGTGGCTTCAGCACCCCGATCAGCCAGGCAGGCTGGCTGGCGGCCACAGGGGTGCTGTGCCCGGCTCCGGCGCCCCCTCCTTGGGCAGGATCCGCCGGCCTCTAGGGCTCCAACCTCCTGCCTCGGGGAACGGAGAATGACATAGGAATAGGAATTCGGAGGTCCGCCCAGGTTCTCGGATCCGCGGAACTCGCGCGGGCCTCCGAGATTTTATGTTTATGGCATTGTTTGTTCCCCTATCTTCGTCTCTCAATGACGTCGCCGAGATGCAGCAGAAGCTCTTCGCGGGGCGCTCGGAGCCTCGCCCAGGCAGCGGCAGGACGACCCAGCGCGAGGCCGAGGCTTTCACGGTCCCCCCGCTGCCAGGAGTGGAGCTGGGCAGCAGCGAGGCCATCAGCGACCAGTCGAGCGACACCGAGTCGACCTCCGACCTCTCCACGGAGTCCCTGGTGCCTTCCCGGGCGGGCACCTGGCGCCACCGGGCCCGCGCAATCGACAGCGAGGTGGAGCGGCCCCCTGCCGTGTCGGGACGCGTCCGTCTCGCCGGCGAGCCCTGCCGTCCAGAGGAGGGGCGCAAGCCTGGCCTCCCTCTGCGGCCGCAGGAGGACCCGCCGCTGGCCGCCCGCCCTCGTCTAAGCCTCCTAGATGGGGTCGGGGTAGATGGGGTCGGTGGATGGCGCCGCATCGACGGTGCATCGGCTCGATGCGGCTCGATGCGGAGCCCGATTTGCTCCACGTCCACGTCGCCGATACATCGCCGACGTCGACGATGCGTCGCCAGTGCATCCCCGATGCATCGCCGATGCGGTGCGATCCTCCGACCCCATCTACTCGGACCCCACCTAGGAGGCCTATACCTCGACCACCGCAGGCCCGGCCGACCTCGGCGGCGACGAGGGCCTTCATGCCCGGCCCAAGGGGCCGCCCCCTCGGCCGCAGGCCGCGCGAGCCCGCCGACATGCAGGGAGTTGGCCGCTCTCGGTCTTCGTGCTGTGCACGTGGATGCATGTGACGACTGTTGGCTGGTTGCGCCCCCTCTCTTCAGGGGCAACGATAGGGGGGATAGGCATAGGGGGGGATGCATCGACCCCCAATCGCCCATTGATCGCCGATAGGTGCCCGATAGCCCCACCCCGCCCAGGAAGGTGCGGATTCACTATTGCGGGCCTATCGCCGATCTATCGACGATGTATCGCCGATTCCACGATGCATCCCCCGAGTGAGCACTGGGATATGTGCGGCAGCAAAGGCAGCCTCCACGCCAAATCGGAGGTGCCTTGTTTCAGGAGCATGTGACCTGCAAGGCTGCGCAGGTTCGGAGGCGGGCAGACACGTGCTCTTCGCCGCTCGGCACTCAGAGTAGAAGGATGTGCCCATGGAGCAGGCCTTCAGGGCGCGCACCCAGAGTAGGCACGCAGAGCACGCCAAAGCACGGCCCACTGTCCCGAGGGAGCCTCAGCACCGCGTGCCAGTGCGGCTTTGGCTATGGGAGGCCGCCGCATGTGCTTTGCAGTCGTTTTTTTGGTTGGGGGGGTGGGGGTCCTCCACCCTCCCTCCGTAGCTGCAGCGGCAGGAGCCTTACCCGCGGCACGGTAACGCGAGTGTGGGGCATGTTCTTGCTTAATTGACGGAAAGTGCCACGATATTTGTTTCAAGCGGCACAGTTCGCAATCGAATGGTTTGTGCCAGTTGATTGTCCAACTTATACATTTAATACAGGCGCCAGGGCGCCCACGAAAATTCCGTTGCTCGGACCAGGTGGTCGGCATCACCCGCACAGTTTCATATATCTCCTGTTCTTCCAGACAGGTCAAATAGTTGGCAAGCTTGGACCTGAATGACCACCACGGCCAAGGCTGCGGTCAGGCGGCCCAGGCATTTGACAGCACGCGTGCAGATGCTTTTAAGAGCCTCGGAGCGAACAGTAACGTAAAAACACACTGCAAATTGGCCGACGCCCCCAAGATGCTTCTAAAAGCCTCTCAAGAGGCCCCTCGTGAACGGACAGTGACGTAAATTACCCGAGGCGTACCCAATCCTTTCTCCACGCGAGGCGAACATTTGCATGGACGCTCCATACAAAAGAAAACATCGCCAGATATGCATGATCTGCGCTACCCTCATCCCCGCCGCGCCTCCCAGGAGCCCACGAAAGTGGCGATAGTTGCGAATTCCGTGGCCTCCCAGGGAGCCGCGAGGTGTCGGCTGGATCCGCGATCCCGCGACTCCGCAGAGCGGTCCGCTGGACCTCCCAGGAACCCACAAAAATTGCGACGGCTGCGCAGTTCGCAGCCACCGAAGGAGCAGCGAGGTCCCGTCTGGGTCCGCGTGGCCCCCGACTCCGCTGAACCACCCAAGAGTCCGCAAACATCGAGACAGTTTAACAGCTCGCAGTCCCCAGGGAGCCGCGTGGTCTAGTCTGATCACCAACTCCCCCAAGAACTTACAGCGACGTAAAAAGCTTTGAACGCCAAGGCTCCCAAGAGCCATCCTGAGCGATATTGTAGCCGCCCCGCATAACGAGGCGGTCTTTCCGTTCCCGTGCTGGCCCAGGGTCGAACACGCCCACTCCGTGCAGGCATTGTACGCTTCATAACCAAGCCGGCATCCTGCACTACGAGGGTGCCTTTTGCACGGGAGTGGCCTTTCGCGCTTGGCTTGATGGGGTGCGGGGATCGCCCCTTCAAGGCTCCAAAACGGCGCCCAGAAGGAACGCTTTTGCGGGGGCGCAGCGCACCAAAGGCCTCACAGGGCAAAGGTCACCCTTCGTTGCGTGTATCCGGTTCCTTCTCTCGTCGTCTTCCTCGTCGTCTGTCTCCTAGTCCCCTCTGTATGGTGTGGCCTCCACGAGGGCCGTGTCGCCATGGCTGTAGAAGTCCTGGTCAAAGCGAGCTGCTTCAGGACAAATGATTGGTGGCGTCGAAGAGGGGGGACGAGGGCCAGGGGAGTGTCGGTATCGCATGGCCAGGGCCATGACGCCTCCCTTATTGCATGCTTCTTTTCCTTCAAACAGTGCCTGCATTCAGGGGTTCCTTCTTCTGCTCTACAGTGGAGACCCTTGCAAGAAAAACACTCTGCTTGCCTCCAGGGCGCCCTGTGTTTCTTGGGTGTTGATGGTTTTGCACTGGAAAGCGTGACGTTCCCACACCAAAAATCAATGGACGTCCTCGGGTCTCAGGATTGGGTTTCTTGTGGAAAGTTTCTTGTGGTTGAGCCCTACTACAAGGAACCTGGGCCTGTCTGCCAGTCTGGCGGCTATGCTGCCGCCGTCGCCGCCCCGTCGTTGCCTCGTCACCGCCCATCGTGTGGGCCTGTCTGCCGGTCTGGCGGCTATGTTGCCGCCGTCGCCGCCTTGTCGCCGCCTCGTCGCCGCTCGGCGTCTGGGCCTGTGTGCCGGTCTGGCGGCTATGTTACCGCCGTCGCCTCCCCGTCGCCGCCGAGATTGCACCACATATACTATCCCTTCTGAAGAGAGAATGGACTCCACCACCCTCCCGAGGCCGGACTTATCGGCAACCCTTGGGGATGTGCAATTTACATACGATTCTGCCCCACCGTCCATCGCAAATATGAACTCACTCCATCCCATGGGGGCCCGCATCTCCCCCTCATCTCTTACAAAGAGTACTATGCGCGCACACTCGTTGATCAAACGTTATCAGTTTTCACGACTCCCTTGCAAACAAATTGACGAAGTGCACACGCGCGCGCTGTCGTGCGCGCGTGCCGCAATCCTTCAAAAACTCGTGGGTTTCGTAAGAATTTCAAAATCGAGTTATATGTATAGATATAAAAATTATAAATATTTTTTTTTTTTTAAACAAAAAATGGGTTGCAAAACAACTTGCGCGCGCCCTTGCGAGTTCTTAAGAAGACCATCGCGTCTTCATCATGTTCAGACAATGCTACCATACTGGCTTCGCGCGCCCGCGCCACAACTGCAATCGTGCATTCAATGCGCAAACTGGCGAGAGTGGGCACGATCTGTGTCACACCATGCGGGCCACTCTCGCGCGTCGGTCGCGCGCGGATGCCGCACTCTTTCCAAAACTTGCATCACCGACGCGAGGACGCCGTCATCGTCGTCACCGCGATCAGCATCGGCGCCCGCACTGGCCGCGCAGTTGCCGGTGTCAACTTCGCCACCATCATCGCTACCATCATCATCGTGTCTACCGTTGTCGACGTTGCCATGATACTGCGCCCGCCCAAATCGCCGATTCGCACGCGAGTGCCCGCTGGGATGCGCCCAGCGGTCAGCGCTACCGCGGCTTCTTCGGTCGCGCCAAACTGGTTGGCCGCTGCTCGCGCGTGTGTTGGGTTGGCGCGGCCGCAGAAAGGGCACCAGCCAACGCCAAGCATTCATCGCAATGGCCACCGCATGGGTTTTGCAAACCAAGTTGCCGGTGGGTGGGCGGGAGTTCGCGTCGGCATTGCCAAACTAGCTGGCCGTTGCGCGCGCGAGCATGCGCGGCGCGCTGCCGCAGAGATGCAACAGCCAACACTCATCGCAATCGCTTCCGCATTGGTGTTGCAAACCAAGTTGCAGGTGGGGAGGTGGGATGATTGCGCGAGCAGTGGTGTGGACAACTTCAGGTTCGTCGAGTAGAAAAAAAAATGATCTACCCCCTCCCCCCCGACGTTATCACTCCCCCAGTCGGGTATGTAAATCATATACGATTCTGACCACATGACCACCTAAATACGAGTTCGCACTATCCCAGGGGGGCCAGTATCCCCCCCCTGAGGTCTTTTTTTTATAAGAGGAAAAAACACTATGCGGTGACATTTTTTGTTATAACATAACACTTGTTCGCAAATCCCTTGCAACAAATTGGACGAAGTGCACACGCGCGCGTCGGCGCGCGCATGCCGGAATCCTTAAAATCCTTCGGTGCCGGTAGAATTCCGCAATCGATTTCCAAAAAAACATTTTTATATATATATATATATATATATATAAAAAATGGTTTCGCAACACGGATGTGCTAAAAACACTTCCGCGCGCTTTCTTGCGAAATCTTAAGAAAACCATGGGTTTTTTCAAGATTTTCACCAGATGCTGTTCAACGGGCTTCGCGCGCGCATGTCGAAATCTGTCGAACGCCTTTGCGCGTGTGCCGTCGCGAGAATCCTTTGCAAAAAAATGGGACGAAGTGCAGACGCGCGCGTCGTCGCGCGCGTATGCCGCAAACCTTCAAAATCCATCGGTTTCGGAAGGATTCAAAATCGTGTGCCCAAAAAACATACAAAAACACAAGGTTTCGCAACACGGAGTTTCACCGAAAGCGTGCGCGCGCGGCTTTGCGGCGTCGTCGTCGTCGTCGCCGTCCTCCCTCCTCCCGCGTCGTCGTCGTCGTCGCCTACGTCGTCCTCTGTCTTTCCTCGTGTTCGTCGTCGTCATCCTCTTTGGCGTCGTGGTCGTTTCCGTCGTCGTTGTCGCTGTGGTCGTCCTTCCTCCTCCTCCCTCGTCGACGTCGTCGTCGTCCGTCGTCGTCCCTCCTATTTCGTCGCCGTCGTCGTCGTCGTCGTCGACTTCCCTCCTCCCTCGTCGTTGTCGTCGTCGGCGTCGCCGTCCTTCCTCCTTCTTCGTCGTTCGCATCGTCGCCGTCCTCCCTCCTCCCTCGTCGTTGTCATCGTTGTCGTCGTTGTCGCCGTCGTCGTCCTCCCTCCTCCCTCGTCACCGTCTTCGTTGGCGACGTCGTCGTCGTCTTTGTCGTCGGCGTCGGCGTCGTCGTCGTCTTCGTCGTCGCCGACGTCGGCGTCGTCGTCGTCGCCGCCGTCGTCGTCGTCGTCGGCGTCGTCGGCGTCGTTGACGTCGTCGTCGTCGGTGTCGTCGTTGTCGTCGTCGTCGGCGTCGTCATCGTTGTCGTGGGTTTTGCAAACCAAGTTGCGGGTGGGTGGGTGGGATGTTTGCAAGAGCGCGGGATGTGTCAACTCGTTTGTTAAAATCAAACGCACCGCATATATACTCCTTTTCTAAAACAGAATAGGATCTACCCCCCCCCCCCGCGGCGTTATCGACACCCCCTTCGGGAATGCAAATCATATATGATTATGACAACATGTCCATCTTGAATATGAAATCACAAAATCAAATGCCAACCGGTACCCCCCTGGGGGTCCCTTGTAAAAAACAGTATCCCGGCAAAGCAACCTAACAGCGATGTGTATAAGCATAGTTGGAAGCACTCCCTTCAAGAGCCAGGTGAGAACCCAGTTGTAGAATTCTGCTGTTCTCGCAGTCGCAGTCGCATTCGCAATGACAGTCGCAGTGGCAACGGCCGGAGGACCCAATGGAATCATAAGGATTCCTAGGGATTCCTAAGGCATCCTTAGGCATCCTTAGGAATTCATAGGAATCCGTCGGAAACCTGAGGAACCCTTAGGAATCAGGATTCCGATGGATTCCTGGGGATTCCTAAGGATTCCAAAGGAATCCTAAGGATTCTTGAGGATTCCTGAGGATGCTTAACTATGCCTACGGATTCCTAAGGATGCCCACGGATTCTTAAGGATCCCTAAGGATCCCCAGGGATTCTTATGGATTCCTACGGATGCCTCAGCCTGCCTCAGTTTCAGCCTCAGCCTCAGCCTCAGCCTCGGCTTGCCTCAGCCTCAGCCTCAGCCTGCCTCGGCCTCAGCCTGCCTCGGCCTCAGCCTGCCTCGGCTTCAGCCTGGCTCTGCCCCCCCCCCCCCTTCCCCCCCCCTCCATTCAGCCTCACCTTGTCTCAGCTTCGGCCTGCCTCGGCCTCATCCTCAGCCTCAGCCCCAGCCCCAGCCTCAGCCTGCCTCCTCAGCCTCAGCCTGCTTCAGCCTCAGCCTCAGCCTGTCTCAGCCTCAGCCTGCCTCAGCATCAGCCTCAGCCTCAGCCTGCCTCAGCTTGCCACGGCCTCAGCCTCAGCCCGCCTCGGCCTCAGCCTAACCCTCGGCGTGCCTCAGCCTCAGCCTCAGCCTC